AATGCCCTACCACTGTGCTATCGCTCCAGCCCAATTTAAACCTGCATGGTATGAAGTGTTCATAAAGTGTTTGAATAAGTATATAAAAGATTAGGTGGAGAATGGGCACTGGTGGAGGGATGGGTACTCGATCATTGTATAACTAAAACCCAAGCACAAAAATTTGCAAGTCTACAACTGTACCTCATGGTGTTTCACTAATAAAAATTAAAAAAAAAAAAGATTAGGTGATTGCTATTTTATTTTTTTTAAGATTACTCTAGACATACTAGTATACTTTTTTAAAATTTTGTTCATTTATTTATTGCTTTTTGGGTAACACCTAAAATGCTCAGGGGTTACTCCTTGCTCTGCACTCAGGAATTACTCCTGGATGTGCTCAGGGGACTATATGGGATTCCGGGGATCAAACCTGGGTTGAAAGCAAATGCCCTCCCCGCTGTACTATTGCTCCAGCCCCATGATTGCTATTTTATTGGAGGGGGATTTGCTTTTGTTGCAGGTGACTTATGTGAAATGGGGAAAGGTAAGGAATCTCTTGCTTCTCTACCCACCTGGGTCACCTGGGAAGTGGCTGGGGAAATCTAGGACTGGTATAGTCTGCAGTGAGCCTCTTTGCCTGGATTCCCTTTGTCCTTTACAGTACATGAAATGAACCCTGCCACCCAATTTCTGGGGGAGCCCTGGACTAGGGTGAAGCAAGGAATTGCTCTTTGCAGGAAAGGAAAGTCAATCGTAAATTCTTTTTTTTTTTTTAATTTACTTTTTTTATCATTTTTTTTATTAGTGAAACACCATGAAGTACACTTATAGACTTATAAATTTTTGTGCTTGGGTTTCAGTTATACAATGATCAAGTACCCATCCCTCCACCAGTGCCCATCCTCCCCCACCACAGGTCCTAGCATCCCTCCCACCCCCCCTCCCCCTCCCCTGTCCCACCCTGCCGCTGTGGCAGGGCATTCCTCCCTGTTCTCTCTCTCTTCTTTTGGGTACTGTGTTTTGCCAGAGAGGCATTGAGTGGCAGTCATGTTTGGTCTATAGACCACTTTTAGCATGTCTCTCCCACCCTGGGAGGGTCTTCACAACACCCTTTATTTGGTGCTCTCTTCTCTATCTGAGCTTCCTTCTCACCTAGCACATGTGGCTGGCCTTCAAGTCATGGAGCAAAATTCCTGGTACTAATCTGAGCCCTTCCTGGGTGTTAGTCTCCCGTTTTGTTGCTTTATGTTCCCCAGATGAATGCAATCTTTCTGTGTCTATCCCGCTCTTTCTGACTCATTTCGCTTAACATGATACTTTCCATGTAGTATCACTTGTATGTAAATTTCATAACTTCATCTTTTCTAACAGCTACATAGTACTCCATTGTGTAAATGTACCAAAGCTTCTTTAACCAGTCATCTGTTCTCGGGCACTCAGGTTTTTTCCAGATTCTGGCTATTGTAAAGAGTGCTGCAATGAACAAACAATTGCAGATGTCACTTCGACTATACCTTTTTGCCTCTCTGGGATATATTCCCAGGAGTGCTATAGCTGGGTCAAATGGGAGATCGAATTCTAATTTTTTGAGAATGGTCCATACTGTTTTCCAAAAGGGTTGGACCAGCCTGCATTCCCACCCGCAGTGAAGGAGGGTCCCTTTCTCGCCACATCCACGCCAGCACCTGTTGCTTTTGTTCTTGTGGATGTGGACCAGTCTCTGTGGTGTGAAATGATATCTCATTGTGGTTTTGATCTGCATCTCTCTGATGATTAGTGATGTAGAGCATTTTCTCATGTGCCTTTTTGCCATTCAGATTTCTTTTTTGCGAAAGTTTCTATTCATTTCCTCGCCCCATTTTTTGATGGGGTTGGGTGATTTCTTCTTGTGTAGTTTAACCAGTACCTTGTATATCCTTGAAATCAACCCCTTGTCGGATGTGTATTTGGTGAATATTCTTTCCCATTCTGTAGGCTGTCTTTGTATTTTGGTCACTGTTTCTTTTGAGGTGCAGAAGCTTCTTAGTTTAAGATAGTCCCATTTGTCTATCTCTGTTTTCACTTGCTCGGCCAGTGGCGTGACGTCTTTGAAGATACCACTAACTTCAATATCGTGGAGAGTTTTGCCAACTTTGTCTTCAATAAACATTATGGATTCCGGTCTGATGTTGAGGTCATAAATCCATTTCGATCTTACTTTTGTGCGTGGCGTTAGGCAGAGATCTGAGCCCACTTTTTTGCATGTAGCCGTCCAGTTTTGCCAGCACAATTTATTAAAGAGGCTTTCCCTGCTCCATTTCACTTTTCTTGCCCCCTTATCGAAGATTAGATGATTATATGTTTGGGAGGAGATGTCAGTATATTCAACTCTATTCCATTGGTCTGCAGCTCTGCTTTTGTTCCAGTACCATGCTGTTTTGATTATTACTGCTTTGTAGTAGAGCTTGAAGTTAGGTAGGTTGATTCCTCCCATTTTCTTTTTCCCAAGAATTGCTTTAGCTATTCGTGGGGGCTTATTGTTCCATATAAATTTCAGGAGTGTTTGCTCCATTTCTTTGAAGAATGTCGTGGGTATCCTTATAGGGATTGCATTGAATTTGTACAGTGCCTTGGGAAGTATTGCCATTTTGACAATGTTGATTCTCCCCATCCATGAACAGGGGATATTTTTCCATTTCCTTGTGTCCTCTTTTATTTCCCGAAGTAGCGTTTTGTAGTTTTCTTTGTACAGATCCTTTACTTCCTTAGTTAAGGCGATTCCTAGGTACTTGATTTTCTGGGGCACAATTGTGAATGGAATTGTTTTCTTCATGTCACTTTCTTCTCTTTCATTATTTGCATATAGGAAAGCCATGGATTTTTGGGTATTGATTTTATAGCCTGCCACTTTACTATACAAGCCTATTGTTTCTAGGAGTTTCTTGGTAGAGGTTTTAGGGTTCTCTAAGTATAGTATCATGTCATCTGCGAATAGTGAGAGCTTAATTTCTTCTTTCCCTATCTGGATGCCCTTAATATCTTTTTCTTGCCTAATCGCTATTGCAAGTACTTCCAGTACTATATTGAACAGCAGTGGAGAGAGTGGGCATCCTTGTCTCGTCCCTCACCTTAGGGGGAAGGCTCTCAGTTTTTCCCCATTGAGGATGATGTTTGCTGTAGGTTTGTGGTAGATGGCTTTAACTATATTGAGGAAAGTCCCCTCTATCCCCATTTTGGCAAGGGTTTTCATCATGAATGGGTGCTGGATCTTGTCAAATGCTTTTTCTGCATCTATTGATATGATCATATGATTTTTATCTTTTCTTTTGTTGATATGATGGATTATGTTGATTGATAGGAAAGTCAATCGTAAATTCTTACCAAGACTTTTAAGGTCGCCTTTCTCTCATAGAAAAGAATTTCAGGAAGAGACAGAAGAGACAAAGAGTAAAGCAAAACAGCTTTATGTAGAGATTATTGGGGTTTGGTGAGGAGGACAGGGAGGGAGGGAGGCTTTTCAGGTCCCAGTTCCTGTGTCCACAGAGTGGGTCTGACAGTGATGTTTTGAGCTGCTAAGGGCTAGTGACAGAGTAACTTCTTTAAATCTCATCTTGGTTTTATTGTGTATTAAGAACTCATTGCCAAGGATCCCAGCCCTCTCATCTACCTGCCTGTTTCACTTTCTGTTAGTTTACATTCACAATTTAGAAAAATTTCTCTGCCATCTCTCAGCTTGCCCATTTCCCTCCACTCAGTTCATATTATGACATATTGCATATTTTATGTAGAATAATTATATGATCTCCTTCCTTAATCTGAGGGCAAAGAATGCTACACATTTTTTGACAGATTAAGAGAATGCAATTGATTTGTCTGCACTAAAATGTTTACTTTTCAATCTAAAGCTTTCACTGGAAAAATACTAATGCAGCTTCCAAATAAATACAGTCCAACCAAGGTGCTTAGCAGGCTTATGATATATCAAGGAGGGCTACCAAATATATTAAAGGGAGCAGTGAAATGTTAGTTTTAGTACATGGCAAACTTGAGACGAACCCTGCAGTAAAGAGGATGCAAATCATCTGCCCTCTGTGAAGAAGCTGACTAGCTAAAATTCGTCTAGCACCTGGAAGCCTTCTCCAGGGATCTTACCGTTGCTGTTTACTCTTAGTAGGGATTTTAGTAAGCCTGCCTTAGTGAAGAGTGTAAGAGATATGCCGCGCTCCACTGGATCACCTGAACAGATCAGAAGAATGCCACCCTGTGTTTCTGGAGCTCTCCCCACCTATAGATTAAACTGGTTCCATCTAAGAGTGACCTAGAATGAAAGGCGGGGATGCTTTTTTGCCACCCAAAGCAAATGCCAACAGTGTAACAGTGTGTCTGGTAGCCAGGGCTTCCCCTACATCTGCCTGATTTCCATGATCTACTCCATGAACTCCAAAATCCAAATAGGCAGTGAAGCCCATAGAAGGCTTCTCTCCCTCTCATTAAGGGAGGACATTCTGCTTTGGGAAATAATCCTCCTTAAAAAAAAAAAGCCATTCTGTAGAGAATAAGAGCATGCTGGACTGGATGCTGCCCCAAACCCCTGTGTAGTCCTGAATGGATTCTGATTGTAGAGCTGACAGCAAAGACCCATCCAGCTGTTAGAAGCCAACCGTATTGCAGGACCAGGTTGGAAGGCTTGGTGGGAATGGGGCCTGTTTTGCAATATCCACCATGCCCCTGGGACTTAACCCATGCCAGTATGGCCACTCCAACTGTTACTGAAACACCACAAGTGAATGCGCGAGACCCTGGGTTGATCTCTGACATCACTTCCCCATCCCCCACAAAAATAATACCAAATTTGTGAGACTACAGAGGTATGCAAATTTCTCATGTACAGTTTTCAAAATTATTCTTTTTGTTCAAATAAGTTTGTTCAAATAAGTATACCACCAAAGTCCACACAGTGGATTTGGCCAAATTCTCTCATGGTGTCTATATAGGAAGTGTTGTTTATTTTTCATTGATTTTACTTTTTTCTTTCATAGATTAGAACATTCAGAGAGCCTTGATGAAAACCAGCGGAACCTCCTTCAGATGACTGAAAAGTTCTTCCATGCCATCATCAATTCCTCCTCAGAATTCCCCCCACAACTTCGAAGTGTGTGCCACTGTTTATACCAGGTATGATTAAAGCTAGAGATTACCATTGTGAATCTAAATGTAATTTAATAAGTATGCTTTTTTTAAATAGAAGTTTAGATGCTGATAGCAGTTACTGCTGAGTCAGTTTCAATGTTAATACATTGAGCATTATTGGGATTGACTTTGAAAATATTTAAATATTACTATGGGGAAAATTTTAGATACTTTAAAGGAACATTTAAAATAATATTTTTTTTCTTGTATTGAGAACGAGTATTGTAATATCTGGAAATGATATTCCAGATATTAAAGATCTTTTGTGGTTATCTGTTGTCTAAATTATTCCTAGAACATTTCGTGTGTGAGACAGACTACTTAATTTTGCATTGTGTAATACTTATTGGGTGATTTTTGTTTTCTTCATTAGAACACAATGTGTTTATTTCAAATTTTCTCAGAAAGATTGATCTGTTGACTCTATGTCCAATGGTTTTTATAAAATATATCATTGTTTAGGTCAATTATTAGATTTCAGTAGTTGCACGGCAAGTAATGCTTCTGATGTCAGATATCTCTACTTATTGAGGAACTGCGATCTCTATTCTTTTATGGCTTCCCTTGTGTTTTTGAATTGTAATTGAAATTTTAGGAATAATTTTTTTATCCCAAGGCAGATCAGTGTAAGTCCACATTAACCTGTTTAAACTGTGTTTGTGAAAGAAACATTAGTAGGCATAAGGTTTGGGATAGGAACTGGAATAGGGAATTTATGCATTTACCATCACTTTGAGTCTCTTTGTTTGCAAAGTCATCCCCAGCTAGTTTTATTTTTTTAATTCAGACTTTCAGTTGCCTGGAAACATTAGCTAGATCGGTGAAATCATCATTTTAAAAAGCTTTTTTAGGCTGCTTTGTGTGAATTTCATTGCTATTTATAAAGATGTATTTGCTGTATCTATTTTAAAAAATGTTCACATATATATAGATGATAAGGCATACTTAACATTCAGAGTTCTAATTTACCATGATTTTTTCCCCTCTTCATTTTCAAAATAACTCAAGGAAACTTAAGAGAGTCTCATGTAATTTTTTCAAGTAGTTTAAAGAGAGACCATAATGTGGTTGAATTATAATAGGAAACTTAAAACAGTGAATAATATCTCCTTTTAAGATTTGGTATTATTCATGAATGTTTCTCTTTAAATCTAATTCTGTAATTCTGTTTCTAAAATTAGGCAAACAAGTGATGAGCATTTATTTTAACAGTCTGAGTCAACGTATTGGTTGGCTTAGTAATAACAGTATTCAGAAATGGATTTCTGTAGTGGCAGTGACTTTGATTTTATTTAAATGCATGCAAGTGAACGGGTACTGATTATATTGTCTGATTATGTGGTCTAATAGGTTTTAGTAAAAGTTTTTTGTAATTGTCATCCTAAATATTTTTGTATCACTTAGAGTTTAATTTGATACCATAATTTAATTTGAAACTTAGAGTTTAATTTGATACCATAATACTGGTAAGATAAAGGAAAAGGGCTTGGCGCTTGGTAAAATACTGAAGAAATATTGAATTACAGTGTAAATTCTCCCATTGCTTCCCAATTTAAAAAGATTATTTCAAGTTTTCATTTTCTTTTTTTGGGGTGTGGGGGTGATTTGTGCCACACCTTGTGGTACTCAGGACTTATTCCTGACTCTGTGCTCCGGGATCATTCCTAGTGGTGCTCAGGGGACCATATGGGGTTCCGGGGATTAATCCTAAGTCAGTCATGTGCAGGGCAAGCACGGTATTGCTGTACTACCTCTCCAGCCCCCTCTTGACAGCTTTCATAGTTAGAAAGGGAAGGAGATATTGAAAATAAATCAGACAAAATATAGAACAGAGTGATAAGTGACTTATTAATGCTATGGGTTTTATTTTATAAAGCACTCATGATAAAATTTACTCTATTACTTTAATGGATCTGATTTATCACATTAAAAGTCTACAACTGTACCTCATGATGTCTCACTGATAAAAATTTTACAAAAATAAAATAAAAATGTATGTAAAACTAAAAAAATTTATATTCTCTTTAAGAATATTATTAAAATGTGTCAATGAGCTATTTTTAAAAATTGAATATTGTTGGATTATTTAGTACTATGAAGAGAAGGTATGCTTTTATATAAATAGATATTGTTTCTTAATTTTTTTTGATGTTTGAATATTGAAATAACTAGTTTTGCATGTAGTTGACAGAATTGTATGGAACCTACATACCCTGTACTGATTTTCCAATGATGATGTCTTACAAAACGATAGCACACTATCACAACCCAGATGGTACATGGTCATGACAAATAGTCATGTTGCCTTTAATAATCACATCCACGTCCTTCTCATCTCTACCCTTTCTTTAACTCTGGCAACCGATAATGGTGTTTTCAGTTCTAAGATTATATAATTTCATGATGAATATGACACCTTTATAAATAAGTTTTTAGTTAAGTGACTGATAACAGAATTTTACATCTACTAGTTAAGAAAGAAAAGTATTGATCTCCTTCTGAGTTCCTGTTTATTTTTTAAATTATTTTTTTAAATTCATCTTCCCTTTTTATTGCTATTTTGTCAGTCACATAAAGGTAATCTTCTACTTTTATGTTTGGCTGAAAGGGATAGTGTATTTTTTTTTCTTTAGTAAACATGATTTCTACATTGAGAACTCTTAGCAAGTTTTGAAAGGTAAGTTTTACTAGTTTGGTGAACTTTAGGGTTTTTTTTTTTTTTACCTGAGTTCATAATTTTGATCAGGCAGATTTTTTTTTATGTTGCTTTAACCGTCTACTTCACTTTATATACCTCCTATCTCTCCTCTCTCCTCTTCCTTTCTCTCCTCTCTGTGAATTTTTGGAGCCACACTTGGTAGTGCTCAGGGATTACTCCTGGCTCTGAACTCAGGGATCACTCTGGCAGTGTGTGGGTGACCATGTACACTGGCAAGCATCAAACTGGGGTCAGCTGCGTACAAGGGAAGCACCATAACCCCTGTCCTCTCTAGCCCTCTGTGCCTCCTTAATGGACAAGGTTAAAGTTAATATAAAAAGAGCCAAGGACCGGAAAGATAGTACATTGGGTAGGGCATTTGCCTTGCACGCAACCGACCCAGTTTCAAAGCCGGCATCCCATATGGTCCCCCAAGCACTGCCAGGAGTAATTCCTTTGTGCAGAGCTAGGAATAACCCCTGAGCATTGCCGGGTGTGACATTGACACACACACACACACACACACACACTATATATATATATATATATATATAGAGAGAGAGAGAGAGAGAGAGAGAGAGAGAGAGCGCCAGCTGTGAACATTGGTCAGATTTATCACTGTCACTGTCCCACTTTTCATCGATTTGCTTGAGCAGGCACCAGTAACGTCTCCATTATGAGACTTGTTGTTACTGTTTTTGGCAGATTGAATACGTCACAGGGACCTTGCCAGGCTTTGCCATGCGGGCGGAATACTCTCGGTAGCTTGCCGGGCTCTCCGAGAGGGGTGGAGGAATCGAATCTGGGTCGGCCTTGTGCAAGGCAAACACCCTACCCGCTATGCTATCGCTCCAGCCCAGATTTATAATTGAAGTTTTTTTCTCTTTTTATTTTTCCTTTTAATGGTTTTGGAATAATAAGAAATTCCCAGAATCAGTATTCTCTTAAGTTATAGTGAAAGAATTCTAAGGACTAAATAAAATGATTTTTTAAAAAATGTCATCTTTTCCTGGTAGATTCTGTTTCTTTAGACAGAAATAGTTTGCACAGAATTTTTTGAAACTATTAATGATAATTGCTTACCACAATTTAAATATATATATATGTATAAAACAGCATTTTGGGAGGGCCACAATGAGTAACTCATGATGCTCATGGTTACTCTTGCTCTGCACTCAGAATTGCTCCTGGTACTACATGGGGGACCATATGGGATACTGGGTATCAAACATCAGCCATGTGCAAGGCAAGAATCCCACCTGCAATACTATAACTCCAGAACTAAAACAGCATTTTTTGGTGTGATTTATTTGGGTTCTGATTCTTTCTCTGGTAACCTGAAATTTGAATCAAAACTTTTGAGATACCAGTTGCCTGATTGTTCCTATGGGTGTTTCCCAGTGCCTGAATAATAAATATCTTAGCATGTTAGCTTTATAATATACATTTAGATGATTGTATGGACAGATGGATGGATGGATGGATGGATGAATGTTGAACTAACTTTAAACATAGGTTATTATGGCTTATGATATTGTGTACATAGAATTCTAAGAATAAAATTCCATGTATAATGGACTAAATATTTCTAATTTTGTTTCAAAAGAATTTTAAAAATAACTGTTAAAAATAACTGCTGATTCTAGTGACAAATCTTTTCATTTTTAAAGCTCCTTTGCCTGGAAGGTGTTCTGAAAGATGAAACCAATATATCTCTCTGGGTTTGATATTTCTAGGAGAATGTTGTGATAAACAGTCTAATATGTGAAAAATTTAACTCATGCTTACAGTTTTATTTTATAATCTTCTCTGCAATTTCTTTACTCTAATATTAATGCTTATTTATAGTTGAGCTGATTGATAACTTTCATCTCCCAAATGTTGCAAAGCATTTAACTCCTTTGAGTAGCACTTTTAAAAAGTCGTCTGCAAACTGGAAAACACTTGAAATTTTAAGAGTTATCTTTCTTAGATTTTTGTTTTGTTTTGGGGCCATACCTGGTGTTGCTCAAGGGCTACTCCTGGCTCTGTGCTCTTAGCAGTGTTGGGTGGTTGGGGGCCATGCTGTGCCATGCATCAAACTGGAGTTTGCCACATATAAGACAAGGCTTTGGCAAGACCTGTTCTATCTCTTCAGCCCTTAGATTTTTAATTCAGAATCTCTTTAGTTTTTTCAATATATGTGCCATTTATTTTTTTAATAATTAGTAAGAACTTAATACAATGCCAGATGTTGAATAAAGAGCTTTAAGTCAATTGAAGGATACACAGAGAAGTATCTTACGTACCAAGAAAAATATTATTTAGACACAAATGAGGTCTTAGTGTGTGCTTTACATGTAATACATATTTTACATTAATTTTATCAAAAACTAGGAATTATCTAAAATGTAAATAATAAATATCCTCATTTATTTGAGGAAGAGCTTTTATGTGATTGATAGCCAGAAATAGTAGATATGATTGCCTCAACATATGCTGCCATTACTTAGTATTTTGGCTTAAAAGTGTCATAAAAATTAAAATTCAGAAAGAAAATTCATCCCTCAAACTTCAGTTATTTCTTTTTTTTATTCCATTTGTGTTACATTTTATTGTGTAGTTTTATGTACAAGCCAACATTGTTTTTGTTGCTGTATGTAGTTGGTGCTGTGACTTGTTTGTGCTCATCTCTGTTCTGTAGGCAACTTGCCACTCCCTACTGAATAAAGCTACAGTAAAAGAAAAAAAGGAAAACAAAAAATCAGTAAGTTTGGAGAACTTTTTATTAGCTGTTTCTTTCAAAGCAAAACAAAAATCTTTTTGCTGTTTGTTAAGAACATCTTCACTTCAGCCTATTTGACCTTCACTGTAAAATCATTCTACTAATTCTGGCACAAAATAGCTTTCATTTCAATTAACCCTGGAATTAAGTTACAATGAAACATTCTCTGTGTTCCTTTGGTTTGATTTATCCCAAAGACATTAGGGGGCATTTGTTGCTTTGGATATCTCTGGTGTAAGTTGGGTTTTTTTTAATTATAATTGAATGTGAAAGGAACTTAATTTCAAGGCTTTGAGAGATGTTGACTCTCTTCATTCTTGCTTCTGGTCTCTAGGTAGAGTGAGTGGTTTCTTTTCCTAAAGGTTTTTTTTAAGTGTTAGTATGCAGGGAAAGTGTCACTTTTTAAATCTATCTAAAAGTTGCCAAATTTTGATTTTCTTCCTTATATTTTAAAGTTGGCAATCTCAGGCAGAATTTAGTTACTTGTGCTTAATTATAAAAACTATATTCAGGGTATGGCATAGAGGACTGGAGTGCATGCTGGTGTCCCCTGAGCACTGCTAGGAGCAACCCCCCCAAACGAACACTCCTTGAGGGGAGTAGCCCCCATGCCCTGCAGGTGTGGCCCCCAAACAAAACAAACAACAGCAAAAACATTAGAATATATATATCCTAATGAAAAATTTATTTTATCTTACAGAAAATCTGGACTGGAGCCGTAGTCCAGTGGGTAGGGACTGCCTTTCATGCCCCAATCTGGGTTTGATCCTTAGCATCAGATATGTTCCCCTGAGTCCCTCCGGGAGTAAGCCTTGAGCGGTATCTGGCGTGGCCCAAAAACCAAACCAAAGAAAACCAAAACTAAAAAACAGAAAAGCATTATTAAAATATTTGGATTGAGAACATAGTACTTTAGAAGTGAGGAAAACTCTGAATCCGTTTTTATACAGAAATACTTCATTTTACAAACATGACATTATTTCACCTGCTCTTTCAAAGCACTGATCCTCATTTAAAAGGAAGACAGTTATGAAAGTAGTAATCTGTATGTGAGTGGAATTTGTCCAAAATGCAACATGCATTTCCTTAAAACTTACCATTTACTTGTTAATATGATTTATCCTTTTTTTTTAGGCGGAATACTATTTTTTTGTCCATTTAATCCAAAGATTAAAAGATTAGAGAACAATGTAAAGAAAATCATTAGGAGTCTTATAGGAAGTTTACCTTAAAATTTTTGCTTTATAAAAGATCTATTTTAGAATACAGTATTTATCTGGTTTCATTTTTCATTCCTGTCTAGCTTTACATATAACTATGTTTAAAGTTCATAACTACATTAAAATTTAAGAAATGCTTTTTTTGTCCACTTAGGAATTTCTTCTTGAGTACTAAGTAATGTTGTCTAGCTCTGTGAGCAAATGGATTGGATGACCTTTTCACTAAAAACATTTCTTTCTAATGCTTCAACCTTCTAATTCTCAGTGTGTATCAGTTTAATATACAGCATCACTGTTGATACTAATTCTCTGTGTTTAACATTCTTCTTGTTCAGTGTTATCCTAATGTCATAATGTAGTGAACCATGTGAATTAAAATTCAGACTCTTTCTGTTTCTCTCAAGCATGTTTTCTTACCTACCTAACATTGCCTTTATTTATTAATATTTTGTATAAAATTGTTTCTTGAATTTTTTTTACAGCTAGTATTTTCAGATTTTAAAAAGTTTCTGGTTAATATTAAGTTTTGGAATGTATTTCTCAGCACAGGTGTTATGAGGTCCTCCTGAAATTTGAAACAATCTAATTAGAGATTATTTAGGACACATTCCAAAGTATGAAGATAGTGGAGGAGTCATTATAAATGTTATTATTGGTTTTAGAAGTTGTTTTCTTAATGTAACCTATCTTTTAAAAGCAACCTCACTGTCTTTTGGGATACATGAATTATGAATTAGGATAAGCAAAACATGTAAAGTCCTGGGTTCCAGTATATATCTACATAGATAGTATGGCTAGTTGTTTATTATAATCTAACATATAATGTTTAATTATATTTTCTTTGTGAAGTTAATTGGTTACCTAACCTAGAGAACTTTTGGATTAGTTTAAAGATGTACACATAAGTGATCTTTTTGCCTGGTGTATTATTTATAAGTGGATTTATTTATAGTAGTACAGTTTTTACCAAGGGTATTAAGAGGGACATTCTATCGATAATCTATTTTAGTATAAAGGTCAGTTCAACTTCCACCTTTTATATAGAATGCCAATAATAGTTGAGTGTGTGTATATTATGAGATTATCTATAAAATTACAGAAATTTGTGGTAGAAGAAAAAGGTAGCTTTATAAATTGCCTTATGAAACTTGTTATATTGCATCTTTTGATACTGATTAGATTTTATCAGGTTGGAGCGATAGCACAGTGGTAGGGCGTTCGCCTTACAAGCAGCCAACATGGCTGACCCGAGTTCGATTCCTCCGCCCCTCTCGGAGAGCTCGGCAAGCTACCGAGAGTATTCGATATGCCAAACACAGTAACAACAAAGTCTCCAATGGAGACGTTACTGGGCCCGCTTGAGCAAATCGACGATCAACGGGAGGGCCTTTACCTTTACCTTTAGCTCAAAACTAAATGTATCAGTAATGTGCATAATTATGTTTCATAAAACTCTCTGTATTCTGAGCCTAAAGGGTATTTTTGTTTATTTTTGTTTTGTTTTTGGGGCCACATCTGGCAGGGCTCTGTGGTTACTCCTATTACTGCATTCAGGAATTACTCCTGGAGGTGTTTGGGGGACCATAGGGAATGCTGGGGATTTAACCTAGGTTGGCCATGTACAAGGCAAGTGCCCTTCCAACGGTACTATGGCTTTTGCCCCCCAAAATTTTTTTTCTTGGATTGGGGACTCACCCATTAGTGCCCCAGGGCTTACTCTGGGCTCTGCACTCAGAGGTCACTCCTGGTGGGCGACCACATGGGGTCTCTGGGTTTAAACACAGGTTAGCTGTGTGCAAGACAAGCACCCTGCCCTGTGTACTATCTTAATACTTATTTAATGTAAGTATTAATGTAATTTTTTTTTGTTTGCTTGGGGGTCATATCTGGCAGTGTTTTGGCAATTCCTGGCTTGCTGCTCAGGACTTGCTCTCTGGCAGTGCTCAGGGGACCACGTAGTACTTGGGATTTACTTGTCTCTCTCTGCAAAACCCTCCAGTCTGTCACACTGTCTCCTTAGCCGGTGACTAATTTTTGAAGAAAAATAGTGAAAAGAAAAAAGAAAAAGTGAAAATACAGTACTTTTTTTTAAAACAGTTTTAAATAATCTTCCTTTGGGAAATAATGCATTCAGATTTTCAATAAATTCTGAAAATGAGTAGTATTAAGTTTATAAATCAGATATTAATGTGAGTGAGTTATATCTGAAAACATTTCCAGAAAAAAGTAATAGTTACTTTCAAAATATGTTTTTTAGAAGAGTTTTCTGGGTATATAGAAGTTATTATTATGAAATATTTTCTCAGTTTTAGTATTTTATATATTAACTGAAAACAAAATTACAGCTTTGAGTTTTTTCAAAAGCATTTAGAGATCTTAACAAATTAAATTTGAGTTTATCTTAATTCTTTCACAGCAACCTAGTTGCTAGAGTTTTTGTTTTGTTTTGGGGTAACACCCAGCAGTACTCAGGGGTCACTATATGAAGTGCCAGGGTAGACTAGTTGTTGACCTGGTGAAAAACAAGCACCTTAACCCCTATACTATCTCTCTGGCCTACTGAGTTTTGGCATTAAATCAGTTTCTAAAGTTGTGTTTTTTAGTTAAAAATTACTTAAAGATAATATTTCATTTTTAAGCCATTCTACTAAGGCTGCTCTGTTTTGCTTCCTGCAGCAGTTTCCACTTATCCAAGTTTTTCATGCAATTGCATTCAAAGTACTATATTGCAAAGAAAACTATATAGTATTGGGGGTGGGAGGGTGTCCCACCCAGTGGTGCTCAGGACTGACTCTTAGATCAGGGATTACTCCTGGAGGCTCAGGGGTACCATATGGGATGCTGGGGATCAAACCTACATCAGTTGCATGCAAAGCAAGTACCGTACCGGCTGTACTATCACATTGACCCCTTTATTGGGTATAATTGACCCCTCTTTTACCTCTTACACAGAAGTATTTGGCTTTAAAAAATAATTAAGTCTTGTTTCAGATAGATTAGATTGAGATTTTAGGCAGTAGGTCAGAATACGTTTAAAACATACAACCACATGATGCCCTAATGGAATAGAATGAACTGAAGCACGAAAAGGTAGCTAAACAGGCTGGAGCTTATACTCAGCATGCAAGAGGCCCAGCACTATGAAACCGCCTTCTGATCTCCCAAGCACTGTCATGAGCGGCCTCTGAACATTAAACTACTTACTGGATGTGGCCCCCAAACAAACAGACAAAAAGTGAATGAATTGAAATAATCCTTATTCTTCCCATTTAATTGTGTCAGTGATTGGTATGATTCATGACAAGTATTACCTTACTAAGATATTGGAAGGCAATTTAAATTACATGTGTGAGATTCCAAACTTAAATTTATTTTTTTTGTACTCCCAAAATTCTTTGAAATATAAGCCCATTTAGAATCCCGGAATATTGAATCCAGCGCTGCTGTTCCCATCACAGGCACCTCCACTTTCGGTGTTACCTAGTCACAGTAAGCCCATGCAGTTAAAATACAAGTATCCTTAATATGTGCAATATGCATTAAAATGTCAATTTCAAAATAATAGTTTTAATGTGTTGCCTTTTTTATTTGGTTTTTGGGTCATGACAGTAATGCTGAGGGTGGGGAACTACTCCTGGCTAGGTATCAGAAATTGCTTCTGAACAGTGCTCAGGAGCCAAAGCAGTGCCAGGTGTCAATCAAACCTGGGACTTATATATACAAAGTGAGCATTTGTCTATGGCTATATCATCCCGAACATGCCTGATCTCTTCTGACTCAAAAGCAAAGTGTGTGCACTTGCCTTTTGAACCATCTCGCCAACCCTCAGATGTTATTTTGATTTAAAAGTATGAGGCACTGGGAAGAGATGGTGGAGAAGACCTTTTCAGAATTTTTCCCTATCTAACTTCCCTGTTGCTTTATTTATTTATTTACTTATTTTTTTTTTCTGGGGGAGAAGTTTGGATCACTCCTGGCAGTTCTGGGGGAATCAGATACTATGCTGACGAATCAAACCTAGTCAGCCATGTAGAAGGTGGCAACCGCCTTAACCCCTTTACTCTCTCTGGCTCTACCTATTACTTGAAAGAGAAAATTTCATAAGGGGGATATAAGTATTAAATATTAGGCTCACATTGCTTTTCAGTATGGTCAACCATTTCTCCTATCCTTAACTTATTTTATTTGACAGAGGGAGAATTTTCTTTTTCTATTGGTAGGGTGTTTGCCTTGCAAGCCTCCAGCCCGGCTGAGCCAGGTTCGATTCCTCCGCCACTCTCGAAAAGTCCGGCAAGCTACCGAGAGTATTTCGCCCACATGGCAAAGCCTGGCAAGCTACCCATGACAGATTCGATATTCCAAACACAGTAACAACAAGTCTCACAATGGAGACGTTACTGGGCCCGCTCGAGCAAATCGATTGGTACGATACGTTTTTTCCCCCAGGTCCTCCAGAATTCCTGCTGTAGATTAGTAGGTAGGCTCTTATTTGTAAAACATTCTTGTGAAGAAAATGACTGGTAGTAATACTACTTATAAGGAAGTTTTTTCTCTTGATAGGAATCTTAAGAAAACTAAATTTTATTTAGTATATGGCAAGTATTCTACTTTACAAGATTCAGTCATTCCTGATACTCAACAAAAATGTAAGTATTTATTCTTAGGTATAGGATGTCTTAGGAGTATTTTGTTGAATACTTACCTTCACCATATTATGATTGACCATACCCTCTGGTCTACAAAGCTTAGAAAATACAATAAACTTTGTGTCTAAATTTGGTCTGATTGTATTACCCATCAAACCTGCAACAGCAAATGATAAAATCATGTCTTTTTTCAGGTCTTTGCTACACAACTTACCCATGAGTCTTTCCTTTTTCCTAGGATGACTTTATTATGCTTTAAAAGTGACAAAGGGCAAGGACCGAGCATAAATTTCTTATCCTGATGCTTTAGGAGTAGGCAAAACTAGAAATACCCTATTTATGAGGATTCTGTCTATTCTGAGCTTTGTGAAACATTTGAACTTGGAACTGTGTATTCACATCCCCTTGTTTTAATTTAGACAGTATGCTCACTTCTTAACTCCTTGTTTTCAGGTGGTTAGCCAGCGTTTTCCTCAGAACAGCATCGGTGCAGTGGGAAGCGCTATGTTCCTCAGATTCATCAATCCTGCCATTGTCTCACCGTATGAAGCAGGGATTTTAGATAAAAAGCCACCACCTAGAATTGAGAGGGGCTTAAAGTTAATGTCAAAGGTGAAGAATTATTTTCTAATCTAGCTAAATGTCTTTGAGATAAGAACCTTAAGATTTTAGTTTTTCAGATTCACTATATAATTTTTTGAATTTGTTTTTTTATCATGGAAAAATGTTTTAGCATGGAAAAATATTTTAGCAAGTTATTACAAAGAAATCTTTATATATAATATGGAAATTCTGGGATGGAGGCTGAAATGTACATTGTGTGATTTTTTTTTAAAAATTAGGCTATTTTTCTATTTTTTTTTAAAAAATAGAAAACCGGGGATAAGAATATTTAACTTGCCTGTGACCAACTCTGATTTCAATCATTGGCACAACATATGATTCCTGAGCACCTCCAAGGGTCACTCCTAAACAGACCCCCTGAGCACTGAAGGATGTGGCCAACAAACAATCAAAAATTGACATTAAAATTTTATTTTACTATTTTGCAAGGGTTTGGGGGCTCCCAAATGGAGCTCAGTAGGCCCAGGGCCCCTAGGGAATCACGGGCAACTGGGCCTGCAGTTTAATACTAGGGGCCCAAGAATGTGGTGCTGGTTGGGCCCTGCTGTGCCAGGGATTACCCACACCATCCCAGCAGTGCAGTGTCCTCCAGGACCACACCTGGCAGTGCTTGTGGCCACTCAGGGATGTGTTGGGCAATGCTGGGAATCAAACGGGGTCACCCACATCTAAGGCACTTACCTTAATCCTTCTAATCTCTCTAGCCTAACATTAAAATTGTAATAGTATTTTTATGTATGCAGGTATATTTTCCATGCATAATAGATGAGTGGAAAAATACCTAGCATTTATAGAGTATGAAAAAAATTATTTTTAGCCACTAGCGGAAATCATGCCAATGAGGAAATATTAATTTTTTGGAGAATATACTTGTAAATGTATAAAGTTAGTATAGTAATCTATTCTTCATGACCCTGTTCCATTTAGATACTACAGAGTATTGCCAATCATGTTCTCTTCACAAAAGAAGAGTATATGCGGCCTTTCAATGATTTTGTGAAAAACAACTTTGAAGCAGCACGAAGGTAAGCAGCCTGTGACTGAGTTGATTGCTCTGTTTGAATCCTAAATATTTTCATTTTCACTTAAGTTCATATACATAAAGCTCTTATATAGATTTCTTCTAGTTCCTCCTAAGGTCAAGAATAGAAATAATCTAATTTTATTTTATTATAAAAAATGATAATGAAGTATAATCATATTCAGTATAACTTGATAGTTTTTTTTATTTGAAAACCAGAAGGAATTTTTGACTTAGCTACTAAAATAATTAGGGTTCTAAAATATGGAGAACCTTAAGAGGGAGGAAGGAAAAGATTGCTTATAGCAAATCTAAAGCCAAAATGGTACAAAGTGCATAATTATGTATAATCAGAATCTTTATGTTAGAATTTCTTCAGACTTCAGTTTGAAATGGTTCTGAGCTAAAAAGTAACCCCTACCTCCCCCTTCTTTGTCATATTCAGTGGTGCACAGGATATCTGCTCAGGAGTGATCCCGGATGCTAGAGAAATAGTACAGCAGGACGGCTACTTGATTTGCATGCAGCCGACCTAGGTTCCATCCCGGGTACCACATACTGTCACCAAAGCCCTGCCGGGACTGATCCCTTAGTGCACTGTCAGGTGTAAGCTCTGAGTACAGCTGTGACCAAAGAAAGGAGTGATCCCTTATGGTTTCTTTTACAAAGGGACATATATGACGCCCAGGATTGAATGGGGTCAGCTGCATGCAAGGTGCCTTTCCTCCTTTACTGTCTTCCCATCCCCCTAAAATATAGTCCAGTTTTCCCTGTTGAATATACCCACAGCCATGGGAGTATAGGGCAAGTGCTGAGCAGGGGGAAGGGTGAAGCTCCCCCAGCCCAGTCCCAACTATGTGGGCCCGATCATTCTGTCTATCCTGTGCATTTAGTCTGGCAGTGCTGAGGGTGTGTATAGTATTACGGAATGAGGTGCCAGAAAATGAAACTTGGGCTTCAGTTATGCTAGATCTATATTCTTCCACATGAACTATTTCCCTGACCTTGTATTATTTAATTTAAGAGTAACATTTTTGGGGTTATAATCCTGTTGGCCCTGAGCACTGTTGGATGTGGCCCTTATCTTTTTTAAAATAGTTAAAAACTGTTCAAGTTCTATAATCATAGAAACTTGAGTTTTATTTTTTGATTATAAGAATCATTTATTCTAACTTTTTAAAAAAAATTTTTTTATTAGTGAGACACTATGAGGTACAGTTGTAGACTTACAAATTTTATTCTAACTTTTTTTTATTATTTTTACTAATGAAACACCATGAGGTACAGTTGTAGACTTACAGATTTTTGTGCTTGGGTTTCAATTATACAATGATCCAATACCCATCCCTCCACCAGTGCCATTTCCCACCACCACGGATCCCAGTATCCCTCCCACTCCCCATCCCCCCCCCCCCCATTCCACCCTGTCTCAGTGGCAGGGCATTCCCTTTTGTTCTCTCTCTCTTATTGGGTGTTGTGGTTTGCAAAAGAGGCAATGGGTGACTATCAGGTTTCGTCTATGGTCAACTTTCAGCATGCTTCTCCCATCCTGGGAGGATCCTCCCAACACCCTTTATTTGGTGCTCCCTTCTCTATCTGAGCTCCCTTTTCCCCTGGCATGTGTGGCTGGCCTCCAGAAACTTGAGTTTTACTGTTTCCATAACCAGTTGCTTCTCTCTTTTTCTATTTATTTATTTATTTTCCCATTTTGGGCTATACCTGGTGGTGTTCAGGGATATTTTTGCATTTTGGACTATATCTAGTAGTATTCAGGGATTAGTCCTGCCAATGCTTAGGGAATCATGAGATACTGAGGACAGAACCCAGGCCTCCCACATGTAAAGCATGCACTCAGCCCACTGAACTCTGTCTCTGCCCTCAATTGTTCTTCTTTCTGAGTTTTTGATTTATACCAATGCAGTGTTTGCCTAACTAAGTTGATGTTAATAAAATAAATTTTTGAGGAAGTGCTTTGTAAACATAATTTTCATAATATTTTTTATGAAGCACGAATCTAGTTGATCTTACTAGTTGATCTAATCTAAGACAGATTTGTATATCCCAGTTTTTCTTTATAGTTCATATAAATTTCTTTCTAATAGGAAAATTTAAAGGTATATTGTTGAACTATAACCAATACTGGAGAAAAAATGACTGTCAGCCTAGAATTTCCATTTTGGAAGATTAACTACCCATAAAATATTAAGAGAGCAAAGGTCAATTCCTGGTTCTGACCAAAAAGAATGTATAACTTGGGAAAGTCTTCCTTCCTTCCTTCCTTCCTTCCTTCCTTCCTTCCTTCCTTCCTTTTTTGTGCCTCCATTTCCTTAGCTATAAAGTTCTAGCTCAGCTCAAAGTCTCGTTCACCTAAATTTGGTTGTTGTCTGGCTTCAGAGCCAACTCTAAAGCTGAAGTCAGGTATCAGAAATGAAAAAGTAACTTCTTGTCTCTTCTTGTTTTGTTTAATGACAATCACATTATGTGAATAAGCCCTCCATATTTATAACCTATTATTCCACACAGCTAACTTCATATAAATTTAACTCAAAGATAGGAGTCTGATCTTAAAATCTGATTTTAAAAGTTCTACTATCTTTTCATTTTTGAAGGTTTTTTCTTGATATTGCATCTGATTGTCCTACGAGTGACGCAGTAAATCATAGTCTTTCCTTCATCAGTGATGGCAATGTGCTTGCTTTACATCGTCTGCTCTGGAATAATCAAGAGAAAATTGGCCAGTATCTTTCCAGCAATAGGTAAGATTTCTCATTCATGGGGATGTTGGAAACAGTTGAAACCAGCATTAATAAAATGGTTGGTCATGAATTGTGCATTATACATTGCATCTTCTTAGAATAAGAATTATGGTTTGGAATAGTTACAGAAATATTTATTCTTTTTAAAAACTATAGGTAAGAGGGTAAGTCATATTACATCATCAACAAGCCTACCTAGTGTAGGTGTTATAGACTTGATTTTAATGTCAGCATAAGAAAGCACAAATTAGTGCTTTGGATTTTTTTCTGCATCTGCCTCCTGTCAAACATAAGTTAAAACAAGACTTAAAGAAGTTAGTTTATGGCCAGAAAGATAGTACAGTGGATAGGGTGCTTGTCTTGCATGCGACCGACCTATGTTCAATCTCTGGCATCCCATATGGTCCCCCAAGCTTGCCAGGACTGATTCCTGAGCACAGACCCAGAAGTAAGCTCTGTGCACTGCCAGGTGTGACCGAAACAACAAAAAACAAACCAAAAAATGACATAGCAAGATAAGCACAGCAGTACGGTGTTTGCCTTGTGCAAAGCTGGCCCAGCAGAGCCGGGTTCGATTCCTCCACCCCTCTTGGAGAGCCCGGCAAGCTACTGAGAGTATCTCACCCACATGGCAGAGCCTGGCAAGCTACCCATGAAGTATTCGATATGCCAAACACAGGAACAAGTGTCACAATGGAGATGCTACTGGGCCTGCTCAGCCTTGATGAACAACGGGAGAACAGTGCTACAGTGTTACAATGTCAAATTGTTATTTGAAACTGAATAACAATTCTTAGAAGTTTATTAAAACAATGCCAACTTATATTTTTAAAATTCTTTGCAAATTAAGTTTTATTTTAACTAAAAATTATTAATTTGGGAATTGTTTTATTAACTCAAACTGTTTAAAGTTCTTATCTCTTAAAGCCTGAATTATTAGCTGTTTTTCTTTTATATGTTTATAAAGAGCCCCAATTCTCTTAGAAAAATGAATTCCAAATTATTTTTAAATACTAATGAAAATAATTTGCTTACTTATGGTAAATGATAAGTAATGAGGCTAAGGTTAATTAATTAGGTGGTGAAGATTTTAAAAGAGAGAACACTTCATCTTTATGAATTATTAATGGATGCAAGTAGAAATGGTATGACTGATGTGTGTCCTGAAATAGAAAGATGAAAATGTTTATCTGTGCAATGCAGAAATAAACCTCAGGATTTTACAAATGCACTCATTCATTTCTTTCTTGTAATTCAGATTGTTTGATGCTGGAGTTTTGTTTTAATTCATGTTTTTAAAATATACACATTCCAATATATATATATATAATTTCAAATATATAAAAATTCCAAGTATATTAAAATGTACAGACCATAATACAACAAAGTTTATGTATATCACCTACCTTTAATTTATTTCACTGTATTAGTTCTGTTTTTTATAGCATTTTATTTCTTGGGACGAGAAAAACCTACTTCTCATTGTGTAACTAACAAAGTAAGGAAATTATAGGTATGTGTAATAATAAGTATACATAATATAACTTTGTTTTTAATTTTTACAGAAATAGCAGTATAATTTTTTACAGTAATCTATTGGATATCATTTAATTTGTTAGTATTTATAAATAATTGTATCACAGGTTTTTTTTGTATTTCTTGATTGATCAGGTGTCTCACTATTTTGCTTTTTGTCTTTTTTGGGGGGGGGCACAGCTGGAAGCACTTTTAAGGGCTACTTCTGGTTCAGTACTTGAGGGCTGCTCCTGGCAGTGCTTGGAGTACCATGCAGGGTCAGGGATCGAACTTGGGCCTTCCACATATGAAGCATAAGCTCTGGCCTTTTGAGCTGTCTTCCTGGCCCAACTTTCATTTTTTTAAAGTAGTAATGTATTATAAATATTCTTCACACATGTTTTCCTTGTGTAATTGTGTAATTTCTAAGTTCTGGGTACACATAGACTTCACCTTCTTTAGGTAAAAGCCAGATAGCTTTTCAAGCTGCCGTTTTACATGGCACTTATGCTTTTTCTCAGCATATTTGAAAGTACCTCATGACACATACACATCCTCACCAAGCTTACAGTAGCTTCCTAAGACTTGACAGTTCAATGTTTGTGACATGCTATCTTCTTAAGAGTTTCAGTGTTCAATGTTTAATTAGTGAAAATCCATGTTTACCATGGTAAAGGTAAAGGTAAAGGCCCTCCCGTTGATCGTCGATTTGCTCAAGCAGGCACAGTAACGTCTCCATTGGAGACTTTGTTGTTACTGTGTCTGGCATATCGAATACTCTCGGTAGCTTGCCGGGCTCTCCGAGAGGGGCGGAGGAATCGAAATCGGGTCGGCCATGTTGGCCGCTTGTAAGGCGAACGCCCTACCGCTGTGCTATCGCTCCAGAACCTATCGCTTCTTGGCCTTTTGGCTAAGATCAAGTGTAGTACCATGGTTAAGCAGAATCTGAAATCAGGGCAGGATGTCCAGTTACTACTGAAAAGGTAGATTTTTTTTTTTTTACTAAAAAAAAATGGGTTAGAATGTTATTTTCAGTTACTGATTGCCCCATTTCATGACTCAAGAATACTAAGGGTAAAAAAATGAATTTTACATAAATTTTGTAGGTTGGGGAGTTTTTGTTGCTCTATTTTACAAATCAGAGACTATCGGAGACTATCAATATGAAAAGAAAGGCAGCAAATAACAGCCTGAGTAAATGTGTACTGTTGTGTGAACTGCTGTTTTTTTCCTAAGGAGTTTTGTCGTGTCTAGGGATCATAAAGCTGTTGGAAGACGACCTTTTGATAAGATGGCAACACTTCTTGCATACCTGGGCCCCCCAGAGCACAAACCTGTGGCTGATACACACTGGTCTAGTCTTAATCTTACCAGTTCAAAGTTTGAAGAATTTATGACTCGGTAAGTACCACCTTTGCAATGGTGATAGCTTTCTTTTTAGTTGTAATACAAAATTTGCACCCACGCCTCTTGTTAGATATATTTGGGTTTTCTGTTTATTTGTTTTGTTTTGCACAGAGGTTACTCCTGGCTCATGCACTCAGGAATTACTCCTACCAGTGCTCAGGGGACCATATGGGATATTGGGAGTTGAACCCGGGTCGGCTGCGTGCAAGGCAAACGCCCTACCTGCTATGCTATCACTCCAGGCCCTATTTTTTAATAGAGGATTATTTGGAAAGATTCATTTTGTCATATTTCGGGGACTCACTTTTACCTTCTTAAATATGCTGTTGTACAGTTTATTTTCGTGTAAAAATAATGCCTTCGTTCAGAGAGCTTAAGGACTAGAACTCGTGCTTTGCCTGTGGGACTCTTGGGCTTGATCCCAAGCACCACCAGGAATGTTCCTTAAAGCATAACCAGGTGTGACCCCAAACTTGTCCCCCTTCTCAAAAAATAAGATCTTGTTAACTAGTGCTTTATTGCTCTTGCCTTAAGGTATTTTTTAATTTAATGTAATATAAATTACCTTTGTGTTATAGTTAAGGAAAATACAGCTTAATTTTGCAAATTTTTCTACAGTTTACTGGGGGAAAAAATTTCAAAAACTTCCATCTAGGAAAAGAAAAAGCCATGATTACAAATAATTCTGTGGATAATATCCCTGTTCACTGGTTTTCTTAGTATAATCCTAGGAACTGCTTTTTGTGGTTGTAAGACTAGCTCCTTGAGATTTTTTTATACGTGTTGCCAAATTGCTCCTCAGAAACTGCCCTGTTTTCGTCTAAATATTTTTTGTTTTGTATGTTTAATTATCAGTCCAATATTAGTTTTTTGTAAATATTCAATAGACAATATAAAACCTATGAATTACTCCTTTCTTTTATCATTCAGGCATCAAGTACATGAAAAAGAAGAGTTCAAAGCTTTGAAAACATTAAGTATTTTCTATCAAGCTGGGACTTCGAAAGCTGGGAATCCTATTTTTTACTATGTTGCACGGAGGTAAGAAACGTTTTTGAGTTTTTCTTAACAAGTTTAGTTTCCCTTTTATTTTAAAATTAAATATAAAGACAACAAGTTTGGTTTTTTTTTTATCCCACTTGACTTAATTAGTGTAGAAGACAAGTGTACCTAAGCATACCATAGCCATTCTGTCTCAAAATGATGCTCAGTGTTGAAAATTGCTTTGCAAACTGCCTATTTCATATTGACTACTTTCAACATCAGTTTTTTATACTAATATCCACAGATTAATTACCAACAGTAAAAAAAAACCGCAAAGACTCTTTTAGTGTATATTTGGATTATTTTATCTATAACATTATTAGTAACTTCTTAAAAGTGGAAGTAAAATTTAAGTCTATTTTTTTATAACTTTTCCCAGTATCTATGTAAAATAGCATCGAGGTGATTTATTAATCCAGAGAAGTTGTTAAAATCTCTATAAAGATGGTACAAAGGACAGCCTGGAATATTTATTGTGTCTGTTCATACTGTCTTAAGTCAAGCTATTTAAAACTGTAGATAATTTCTTTGAAGAAATAGGAGTAATTTCTTAGAAATAGGAGTATTTCAAAGAAATAGCTATTTCTTTGAAGAAATAGCTAGGAGTAAATCTAGAATTTCTTTCTGGAAATATTGGGAGCTTTTCCTTTATGATAGGTATCATGCATTTCTTTCTTTGTTATTGTCTTCTTCATTCTGCCATCCTGTTGAGAACTTGGCAATGATATTATTTGGTCATTTTTACTTTTATCACTTATTATATAAATTCATAATTAAACCTTAGAGACAATTAGCTTTAATAAAGAGACTGTGACTTTGGGCTCTCAAGAACTGTGTTAAGTCTTAGTTATGTTCTTCAGTAGCTGTGGAATTGATCTTTCTGACTTTCCTTGAATTAATATAAATTGAGAAATTATGTGGACTTCATGGGTAGTAAAAAACTTCACTGTGTGGGAAGAAGCATATAAGTTAAGAAAAAGCAGGAGAGACTTGGAGAAAGGACTGAAAGGCAAGAAACTTATTTAAGCATAGTTCAGATAGAGTTAAGCCTTCTAAGAAGCTACAAAAACTGGTATCTCTGGGTTCTTAGGTTATCAAGAGAGTACGGAAACTTGCTTTTATTCTCCTCTAATTATTCTGAGTTTAGTCGTCTTCATGAAAGTCGTCTCCAATTTTTTTTCTTCTCAATCTCCTATTTCTTCAAAGAAATTCTCTGCAGTTTTTGTCTCAGTTGCTTTTTAAAAACTTCCTGTGGTAATTTTCATTTTCTTTTGCAAATGAGATGAAGCATATTTATATTCCAATCCTTTAGTATAAGTAGTATATTTTCACTTCTCCTATATTGTCTAATTAAAGTGAGACATTAAGTGATTGAGGTAGAAATGTTGTGTCAGCAGGGCCCGAGAGATAGTATAAGGGATTTAGTTGCTTGCCTTGCATATGGCCAAGTTCAGTTCAGTCCCTGGCATTGCCTATGGTCTCTTAAGCAACAAGCTGGGAGTAAGCCCTGAACACGGCTGGGTGTGGCCTCACTCTCCAAAGGAAATAAATGCTGTGTCAGTTTCCCTTTAAATGGAGGGATAAGGATTGTCCAGCCTAGAAAATCTATAAAACCCATGAAATCTTATAGTCTGGTTTTAGTACGTGATGGGACAGACTGTATGCTTCTCATCAGCTGCCCCACCATCCCCTCTACCTGAATTGGATGGCCCGCAAATGAGTTTTAAATATCCAGTGGCCCTTAATAGAAAAAGGTTCCTCACCCTGTTTTTGGTTCATAAGTGCTGAAGATTTATGGAGTCTCTCAAAGTTATGTTTTTTCCTTTAGGATCAGAATCTAAAAATTGTGTTCCTTCTCTGTGGTCATCCAGAAAAGGGTAGAGTAAAGTACAACAGGCTTGATACAGATATCCTGTGTGGGATTAAATCAGTGAGATTTCAGAAACCCTATATAATATGATGACTTGGAAGTGCTAAGTCACCTTTGCACTGCTGTTGTTACCAGTGTAATCTTAGATGAGTTCATTTATTTTGCTGGATCTGTTTCTTCATGCTTTTGGGTTTTGTTTTTTTTTTAAGAGTAGGTGGTATACATACATATATATATATATATATATATATATATATATACACATATATATATATATAAAGTAAGTAAAAGGCCCTCCCGTTGATCATCGATTTGCTCGAGCGGGCCCAGTAATGTCTCCATTGGAGACTTTATATATATACATATATATATATCCCTGTTTACCTCTCTCATAAAATGTTTTATAACTTTAAATTTTTAATAGTGTTTGAGGCTGATTTTGTTTTGTAATTTGGCTAACTGCCTGTTTTAAATTTTCTTCCTTTCAGTTTGTTGTTGTTATGTTTATTTGATGATGTTTTAATTTTTTCTTTGTTTTTTTTTTAATTGAATCACTGTCAGATACACAGTTGCAAAGCTATTCATGATTGGGTTTTATTCATGCGATGTTCTAACACCCAGCCCTCCACCAGTATACATTTCCCAGCACCAGTGTCCCCTGTTTCCCTTCTGCCACCCCCACCCCAACTCCAGTCTGCCTCTAAGGCAAGCACTTTCTTTCTCTCTCTCTCTCTCTCTCTCTCTCTCTCTCTCTCTCTCTCTCTCTCTCTCTCCCTCTCTCCCCCCCGCCTCTGCCTCTGTCTCTGTCTCTGTCTCTGTCTCTCTGTCTTTTTCTGACTTTCTCTCTTTCCCCCTAACCTTTTGGGTATTACAGTTTGCAATGCAGGTACTGAGAGATTATCATGTTTGTTCCTTCACCTCCTTTCAGCACGCAGTTCTTATCGGGGTAATCATTTCCAGCTGTCATTTTCATAGTGGTCCCTTCTCTGTCCCAACTGCCTTCTAGACTTAACAGAGCACCGTGGGTTTTCACTTCACCTGGTGTGAAACCTTAGCTTCAGTATTGATGAGCACATAGTAGCTCAGAGCAAGGAGAGGCCAGGTTCCTCCACTATGGAAGTCCAGAGGAAAGGAGTAAAAGTCTTAACTCTCTACAGGCAGCTTTGTCAAAGAGCACCTGAAGTAGATGTCTCTTTTGATATTACTGTTCTGTGACTTACACTACCATGGATTAATGCTTTGTGAGCTGTGGCTTCCTGTTTCCTTAGAGATAGATTGAAACATGCAGTGTGTATTCAGATCAACCTCCTCTTGGTGCTGTATTCCCATTCTCAATAGCATCACCTTTTCATCCACTCAAGACACTGTAATCATTTTAAATCCTTCCCTCCTATCTTTATTCTAATTTACCAACTTTTGGTTTTACCTATGAAAATCTGGCAAGTCAGTTAAGCCATTTTTAGACAAGCTTTTGTCTAAAATGACGTCTTTACAAAGAGGTCATTCTTATTTTCTCAAGCAAGTTAGCTCAGGAAAATTATAAATTAAAGTAGAACTTGCCCAGGTATAGACAAAGTTGAATGGCTCTTGGCTCTGGAACCAGCTTTTGATCTTTAGCTCTTTCGGTTTCATGTTCAACTCTATCTCATCAATTTTCTTTATTACCTCTAGTCCTCACTGGTAGCTCTTTTGTACTTACTTTACCACAGTGAAGCTCAAATTTCAGAAGTTAAAGTATAATTCAACTAAAATGTATCTCTCTTTGGTAAATTTCTAATACTAGATGCTGGCCCGCCAGTAGATTTCTGTATCCCTTAGCACAGCAGAAAATAACCTTCCAGCCTGAGCGCCATTTATTTAAAAAAAAAAGTGTACAGAGAGACGCATGAAAAATAGCTCAGCAGAAGAGAGCATGCATTAATGGGTTCACGATCCTCCTGCGTAGATTTGCAGGAAACTCGGATGGAACTAAAGGATCTCGTGCTGAGTGAAGTCAGAATGAAAGGGACTCGGCAGGGGGTGGGGCAAAGGAGGCTTGGAGCGATGGTGCAGTGGGTAGGGCACGTGCCTTATATGTGGCCTACCCAGTGTTGCCCCTCGTTATTCCATATGGTCCCTCAAGCCTACCAGGAGTAATTCCTGAGTGCAGAGTCAAGAGTAACCCCTGAACATGCCTGACGTGGCCCAAAAGCAAAACAAAAATCAAGATGAAAAACAAAGTGAAACGGACAGATAAAGAATGATCGCTTTCATATGTGGGACTTTAAGACACGTATAGCAAGGCAGAAACAAATATCCAAAGGCAGTATAATAGGGGAACTGATCCACACAATTGAGTTACAAGTTGGTAGAGAAGGATGTGGGAGAGGGAGTTGGGGTCTTGAGGGGAGGGAGAAAGGTAAACTGGTGATGGGTGTGGTGGGGGAATTGTGTCCATGAGAAACCATTTAAAAATCTGAAAAAAGATCCTCCAGCATGGCTGAAGGGAGGTGGGGAAAAGAGAGAGGAGAGAAGAGCTAGAAATAAGAGAGAGGAGATAGGGCGTTGCATATGAAAGTCAATTTCATATTGAGTTTATGAAAATTTTAAAAATAAATTACCCACATTGAAGCAGATTATGTCAGTTTTACAGGGATTTTGTCTCTTAATCAGTTCTTTTCCTTGATAATGAACTCCTAAGGAAATTGAGTTATATTTGCTGACATGTTCATCAGTTAGCTACTACTCTAAAAATTGTAGAGCAGTGACATTGACAAGTGAGGAAATTGTTACATAAATGGCAGAGTACATTTTAATACATTTTAATACTTTTCTCTTTCTAGTTCTGTTTTGTATGAACATTTTTGCCCTTGAAAGTATGAAATAAAAAAAAAAAGTATGAAATAGTCTTTGCTAAATACTACTTGTAGGGTCATACTATTTTGTTTGTTTGTTTATTTATTTATTTTGCTTTTTGGGTCACACCCGGTGATACACAGGGGTTACTTCTTGCTCTGCAATCAGGAATTGCTCCTGGCAATGCTCAGGGGACCATATGGGATGCTGGGAATCAAACCCGGCTTGGCCACATGCAAGGCAAACACCCTACCCACTGTGCTATCGCTCCAGGCCCTTGTAGAGTCATATT